ACTAGACGTTTTAATATTTTAATCACAATTGAATGTCAACTTACAATATCAATTTAGTGTTGGTTTCCATAAGAATATTTTCAATCTTTTACATGCGAATGTATGTGAATAAAATAATAGGATTTTGCACTCATCTAAGGAATATAAGAAACAAATAGTACAGAATTAGTTTGTTTTATATTACAAATGATAAATCAAAATACATGAGATTACTTAAATAAATTGCAAAGATGATTCATGCAATTAAGATTTTATCAGAAACTTGTTCATACAAAATTTAAATCAATAGTAGTTGTGCAATAATACAGTCAATGAAAAATTGTAATTATGAGTATTGCTCAATATGATTTTTGTAATGAAAAAAATATTATACATTTAGTTTTTAAAATTATCAAACGCGTTGACATTATCTCGTATTGGTCAGTGCAAACTAAAGAACATTGTACACAACTCAATTTGTTTTCCTTGAAAATAAAAAAGAAACTCTACAGATAAAGATGAGAACAAATGGAAATGAAAGAGTTGTGAACGATTTGGATCCCTATTGAGTGAAGCCAGCGCTGGAAAAGGCTTTCGGCGAACTGAGCAATGAGGTTTGAATCTTAATCTTCAACAAATGGTCGGCGATTAATTTCAAGGACAAAAACTTTACTGCGCTGGTTTCTCTTCACTCAATGGCTAAGAACTTTACTTTCCACAGTCCATTCAACTCAAACCGACCAAGTCATGCCACCAGAAAGTACTTGCAACAAAGTGAGGAATTTCATCGATTCCTTGTCTGCAATTTTATCTATAACAGTTACTCATAAATTAATGTGATCCAAAAACCAAGCTGTCTGAAAGCTATACATTAGACTTTGAAAATGTCCTGTCACTTTATATTATTTCATCATACCAAGTTCATTGAATTCTTCTAGCTAGTTTCTAGTTCTACTGAAGTCACGGACACACAAAAGCTTTTAGCAATTTTGCAATTCATTATATCAAAAAAATCTTAATTTTTTTACACCCATCTGGCGTATTCACATTGGTAAAGAAGAAAATTAAAATGTTGAATGTAACATTGATTGTTTGATGAAAAAGGAAGTAAGAAATGGAAAGGGATATAAAGTCAATATAAAGAATGAGAGTGCAGAAAAAAATTTAACTCATTAAAGGGAAAATGATCTGCTTTATATGATGAAATATTATATTTATAATCTTTTATTATTATGTAAGGGTCATTTATGATGTCAAAGATAAACAAGTGTACGTATGAAATATTCATATATAAATCACGCTATATTTTTAAGAGATTATTAATTAAATTATACTTTTTCATTTTTTAAATTACCTATTATTTTGGGAAAAATTAATATATTTTTTGAAATTTAAAATTGATAGCAATGAACAAACATTGAATGGACTTTTTTTCTTCAATAATATTTTGAATATTTTCGTTATCGATATTAGGAACATGTTATAGATGAATTCCCAAAATTTATTGTATGCATTTATAATTAACTCCTAATAATATTAAGAGTTGCAAAGATAAAAGGTAACGTCTAAAAGGCCAACTAATATAAGATAAAATAAAGTGTTAAGTATATTAAACCTTTAAAAGATAATTATATAATTTTTTAAAATGAAAAGGAAGGTTAGTATAATTCAAATTCAAAAATTTTAATGTAACAATTTGTCCTAAAATAAAATGACTCGTGCATTAAATGATGAAAAACTAAAATAAGTTTAATTACACATTTATTCATTGATTTTCATTCTTAAAATTTTATTTACTTACATATGGTCTCTCTTTTTTTTCTATTGTTAAAATGGAGTTCATTCAATAATAAAAATATTTAAGCTTACTGCACTTTTACTTTTCATATTTTAATTTACATGTGATTTTAGTTCTAATTGTAATCGCTTTTAAGTTAAGCCTCTTACTTCTATTTTTATCTAATTACTAATAAAAATATAATAAGTACGTGAGATATTATTGAATTGTATAAATTAATAAAAAAATATTAAATAAAATATAATACAATTTTTTTATCTATTTACTTTTGTATTTTTTATTCATAAATTTGTATGATTCGATGATATATTATATATTCTAAATATTTGCATTAATTATTAGATAAATCTTAGAACTTTATATTAATAATTAAAATTTAAAAAAGTTACTCATAAATTAAAGTATATAAATAAAAATATAATTATCAATGAATGTGGCATGACTTTTTTTTTTCTTTTGTGGTAAAAGAGAAATTTGAAAAATTGTTAAACTTTTAATCTCTAATAAGACTAATATATTTCCGTGTTTCCTTCGCCATAACAAACCTTTGCTACCTCAAACCCTAACAAGGCAGTCGCTGCATTGATTGATCATGGCAGAGGCACGTGGGTTCGGCTTCAGTGACAAAGCAAAACAAAGAGCTGATTTGAAATTTCAAGTGATAATGTGACATGCATTTTATGGACTGCACAAATTTTATTAAATTTTATTGATTTATTTAATTAATTTTTTCAATGCCGACCCAAACATAATCATGTTAAACACATCCAATCATTCATCACATTTTTTTTAATCAATCATTGGATAAAAAATGAGGCCAAATCCCAATTTTAGCATTTAAAAATTTAAGAGGATGAAATATGAAAAATTAAAACTTCAAAGATTTGTATAAACTAAAGAGGTCAAAATTATAATAATCCATTAAAATATTGTACATTGCTTTATTTCGATTTAATGTTACATCTTTTTGAAATTTCACATCATTGCTTTTTAGTTGGCTCCGTTCCCACAAGATGAAGGGTGATAGTTAACTAATGGTAAGTGTGTTAGCCACTATCAAGTAGTATAAAGTTAGTAGAATACCATCCTATGAAATTGTGAATTACTAATTAACAAATTTATCTCTATTTGAGCTAAATCTTATGAAGAGGAATTTGATGCAATTTTGAACAGCAAACTAAACAATATATGGGCAAGGCAATTAGAGATTAATGCGTAAATTAAGGTGTTAGGATATTATTTCTCCCGACTTTTATTCAAGCAAGCTAATGTTCATTCCAATTCAAGTTCAAAGAAGTAAATTGAAGATTGAATTCACAAATATTGTTAAAATTCAATTCCTTGTCAAGTCAATCATTTTCCCCCAATTAAAAATTATAATTTCTTAGATGTGCCCAAATGGACTAAGCATTAAGTTTCATAGTTAAAAACTCACATAATTACTAATCTATATTCTTAAAGTATCATTGACTATATCGTTTTGTTTTCAATCCGTAATTCAGTCTTCGAATTGCCATTAGATATCTAACATCACACATTAATGCCCAATTCGTATAAGCATTAAAATTCGAAACAAGCAATCAATAAAAAGTGATTTTGAATTAGGAACAAAATTTAGATTACACAAGGTGGGATTTCTCATCTTATAAATACAAAATTTTAGTTAAACATAGTATGATAAATGAAAACAGAAGAAGAAAAAAGTCAAGAGAAACTCAAATTAGAGTTCCATGAGCTCTAAATGTCACAAGAAAGAGAGAGATTTAGAAAGGAATTTTAGTTCTAACATAGATGTATAATTAATTTCTTAATGTTTTGACAAAAATAATTAAACGAAACATGGAGTCATGAACCCCCTTAAAAAAAGAAAAAGAAAAAGAAAAAGAAAAAGAAAATATATTACACAAATAAAAGTCAAGCGAAAGAGACTCCTATAAGGTCCCAAAACAAAAGGTGACCATACCCTTAAGGTAAATTATCTAAAACATGGAGACCCATTCCTAGATGATCCATGACCTAATTTTCTTTCCTTAGGCAATGGGTTGTATTAAAAATATCATTCTTCTTTGAAATATTCAAACTATTATTATCATTTTATTATTTCATTTATAATTAATACTAGTTTGAGGACATGTGTAATTTAACCTGAAAGTTGCTGCTCTGCCGGCCTGATCCTTCATATCATTTTTTATTTGTCATTTTTCCCCCACATTTCTAATTTAAGTCTGATATTTTTTGGGCCAAATGTAAGGCTAATTGACTTTAAATAAAAGTGTAAGACAAAAAAATTCAAATTATAGCCCAAAACTAGAAAAAAAGGTCTTGGCCCAAGGCTCTTGGGTCACTAACCTTGGCTTTAATTCACAGGGAAGGATAGCAACAATCAGCAAAAAAATCATGCTGTCAATTACTTAATATTCGTCTGTGGTAGCCATGTTTTTCGTTTTTAACAATATGTGAGACTATCCTGTTAGAACAAAGAAATCTCCTTAGACTTTGTCTCTAAGTTCAATTTAAGAAAAAAGGAGAAAGAGAAAACTTTTAGGAGTCTTCCTTATTTAAAAGTGTTCAAAAATAAATTCTCAGCAGAGGATGTGTTTGCCATTCTCCTAAAGATTCAGTACTAAGGAGTTTTTTTACTCATGATCAAAACAATTCTTTTTGGCATGCAGAGTTGTCAAAGTTGGGCCAATCAAACCAGAAGATACAGAAACAGCTTTAAAAACCACAAGGCCATTTTCTTATCTATTGTAACTGTTACTCATATTGGTCATCCACAATTTGATTGTCATAAAATTGCAATTGTATACAATTAGGGAACTTTTAGGTTTGTTTGATTGGAGAGAAGTTAGAAAACAAAACATTATTTAGGTTGAACTAATGAGTAATGCTATTTGCACAGGAGATTTTTTCTACTTCTCACACCCTTTTTTATGTGAGCCACCAGACAACAACTTGATTTCACTTGACAACTATTTTGAACCGTTATTATTCCTCGGCCTTCAATTCCTCGTAGTTTGTGCAATGATATTATTTCAATTAAAATTTTTATTAAGTTTGAGTCTCATTAAATTTTGTTTACAAGCCTTGGTAACTAGTAATTCGTGACCATATTTTTGAAAATAAATTGTCATTTCAAATCATAATTTTATTTTCTACAAACGAGGAGCCATTTCATCATTAGATGTTCAAATAAGAAAGGCAGAAAACCCTTGGAACAAGTTCTTTCCCATATACTCTCAATGTTCTCGTCTAGTTCAAAGTGACAGAAGTTAGCTCAACCAAAAATCTAAGCTGCTGAAAAGTCTCTTCTCAATTAAAACTACGCTGAAAATGAATAATTAACAACGATCAATAATAAAGAATTTGGAATATGTGGCTTTGTAATGTTGAGTCAACTCTGCTACAACAAGAGGTCAAGCAGGTAGAGAACTACTTGATCAGAGTGGTAAAGATGAGAAATTTGCTCTAAACCAATCAAATCTCTGAATCAGTTGGAAGTTCTGATTGTATAATCTGTCCCCGTGCAAGAAGAGACACATAGTCAAATCTGGATACCTTTCTTCAGGATCCCTCAATATGGATGAATGATATGGCTCCTTTTCATTCCATCCGAGTATTTGGCCCTTTCCCTTCCTCCTTCATGTACAGACACTCAAAGCATTTTCAAAATAATTAATATTCTCTTGGGTGAGAAGTTGCAGCCAAAGTGATATTCAAATATTAGAGCATCATCAGCATGCAGATAACGACAGAAAGAACCTTGGTTTGAGTTCAGATATATTTAGTAACTAGTGGTATATTAGATGCGATTAGTCATCTCATTCTAAATTAATGTTATCTAACATTATGCACCCTATCTTAATTTGAATTGTAAGCATATATGTACAGAACATAAGAACACGGAACAGTTAAAGAAAAAGAAGGGTAGAAACAACGATATTTCAATTTTAAAACATATATATATGGAGTGCAGCTGAAGATGAAAATGCATATTCATTTGGATTCACACTCTAAACAACAAGCTTCTCAAGATGACAAAACCCCAGCTGGGAAAATTACGTACCACGACTTGATTGCCTTGGAAGTAATCAAGGTCTCTGGTCTAACTAATTATACAATCTCAGGTCAAATTAGTAAGAGCCCCCACGTGCAAATAGTGTAGGTGTCTCCGCTCAGCTTGCTTTACATTTGATGGCTATGTTTTTCCCTCGTTGGGTTTCATTGAAGGCTAGGTTAAGTTTTTGTTTCCCTAGGAGGATAACTCATAAGTGTGATTCACTGGGAAGTCACAAACCTTTTCCATACATGCACAGACGGAACCAATTTGTCATTAAAAATCAAAATTGTATTACCATGTGTTCTTCCTATGTTTCATGAGGAAACAGTCTGTGTTCAGAGATGTCCCGTGGTGTTTTTGGTGCACCTGCACCATAGAGGTCACCACTTTCTGTAATAGAGACTACACTTATTCGTGAACCTTTGGTTTTCTCATTCCTAAGTATCAATTTCAACTTTACTGAATCCAGCCTCCTTTACCGTATTTTCTCTCTCTGTTTCATGTACCCCATAATTTCTTAGTATAACATTTGTTAGCTTCATTTCTTGCATTCTTCTAAGATCAGGGGTTCTACCAGCAACTGCATAAGTGCTAGAAATGAGGAGCGAATCCGTAGGATGCTCTGTATAAATGCTATTTAGCACGTCTTTCACACTTTCCCCTAATTTAACATCTCCATAGACTCTGCAAGCAGAAAGCAGTGTACGCCATGCAGTAGCATCACCCTTAATTGGCAAGCTCTTGATTAGTTGATGTGCTTCAAGTAGCATTCCTGCTCGCCCTAAGAGATCAATAAGACATCCATAATGCTCAACTCGTGGTGAAAAGCCATATTCTTGAACCATGCACTTAAAAATTTCCATCCCCTCAATTACAAGTCCTCCATGACTACAAGCAGTCAGAATCGCCAAAAAAGTGACTTCATTTGGTCGAGGCCCCTCCTTTTCCATCTTATTGAAAAGCGTAAGAGCATTAGTTGGCTGCCCATGAACCCCATGACCTGAAATCATGGCTGTCCAAGCTATCACATCTTTAACGTCCATCCTCTCAAATATATTCATGGCCTCACTTAGAAAGCCACATTTAGCATACATATCAACAAGAGCTGTTCCTAGAACTGCATCCAGCTCCAGTTTCTGCTCTTCAATAAAACTAGTAATGTGACGAATTGCTCGTATAGATCCAGATGCAGGGCATGCTGAAAGCAGCCCTGACAAGGTAGAAGAATTAGGTCTCATTCCTTGAAGACTCATTTCCTTTATTAAAGCTATTGCTTCTCCAACCAGGCCATTTCTTGCATAATTCCCTATCAAACAGTTCCACACGACAACATCCTTTTCAGCAATGCCATAAAAAACTTTACGTGCCAAACATATATGACCCGTTTTTGCATAGAGATCAATCAACGCAGTAAGAACATTCAACCTAGAACTAAATCCAATTCGAATACAGTATCCATGGAGAGACTTCCCCACAACAAAGTTCCCTATGTCGCTAGCTGCTGACAAAAGATTCAAAACAGTGGTAAAACTAGCTCCAAGCCCAATCCAACACATCTTACAGAACAATCCAAAAACCAAACAAGGCTGTGAAACAAGAAGACACCCACCCATCAAAGTGTTCCAAGAAACCAAGTCATTTCCTTGAGGAAATTCATCAAAAAGCTTACGGGCATCTTCAATTCTCTTGCAAACACAATAAAAATGCAAAAGGACATTCTTCACATCAACAAAAACCCTATTCCCAGATCTCACTAAAATCCCATGAATCCCTAGCCCAAACCCAACCTCTGAAACTCGAGCACAAGCTTTGAGCACCGTGATGAAAGAAAATTGATCCAATATAATTCCACGGTTCCTCAATTGATTGAAAAGGGGAAAAGCTTTGTCGGGGAAATTGCTGATAGAATAGCCTCTGAGCATTGTGTTGAACATGAAAAGATTTGGGTTTTGAATATGAGTAAAAATGGAGACTGCATAGTGGATATCTATGATTGAAGCTGCGAGGAGTTTGCTGAGAGTGAAATCAACGTTGTTGAGAGAGGTCTTAATCATGTATCCATGAATTTGACGGATTTCGAAGGTGGTTTTGCACGATTTCAATGCAAGAGTGAGGTTGTGATCCAAAGAGAAGGTTTTTGCAGTGTAATGTGCGTGCCTTAGCCATAATGACTTGTTACCGAAAGTCATTAATAAGAAACTCTCTTCGCCGGCGATAACGGCCCAGACACGACACACTCCTTCGCCGGAAACACAACAAATTTCACCGGGAAAAGGTAAACATCCACCAGCGGTTAATGATAAGTATAAACACGCTACCCAACAAAAATACGGAAATGATTTAACAGAAACAAAATTAGAACTTTTAAACATGAGTCAATGTTTCAATTTTAATTTTAATTTTGTCTTCTATTTATTTTATTTTTATTTTTATTTTTACCTTTAATTTTTATTTCAATTTAATCTTTTATTTATTTTATTTTCTTTTCTTATAATTTTTTAAATATTTAAAAATGTGTCAACTAATAATACGTTCACAAATATTACGTAATTTTTTAACTTATTAAATAAATTTTTTTACATAGCTCATAATTAATTTTTTCAACTTATGTAAATAAATTATACCATGTAAATTTTTTTATGATAAAAATTATTAAATAAATAATTAATTAAATGACTAAATTTTTTACTTTAGTTTTTGAGATAATAAATGCTAGATATTTTATTTTTTAAAATTTTAAAAATATTACATTAATTCTTGATTTTTATTTTCATATATTATTTTAGTCATACATCATTAACATAGGTAACATAACGTTAACATGTTATATTAAGTAACACATATGATTAATTGTATAATAAAAATGACTTTATATAATATTTTTTTTAGCATTTTAATCATTGGAATTGATATATCACACATTCTAGTATTTAAATATTAAAATCTTTCATTTATTTATTATTTTTTGTTCTTTTTTAACATTATTATTGTAAGAAATTATCATTATAGACCATCATTTGTGATCTCTACTAGTAACTTTGTCACTATCATTCAACACTTTCTTTCTCTTCTATTATTTGTGTTATCTACTTACCTTTTTCTTTCCATCACTTTTTTTCATTTTTCTATGTTTCCACTCATTATCAACACTTCCATTTAACATTTAGTCTTTTTTTCACAAAATTTAACATTTTCCTAATCTAATAGCAACATTTCACAGAAGATGAAGAACTCTTTTTTGCCTATCACAAAATTGTCAAAATAACATTAAACAAATTTCAAAAGTTTTACTCTTTTTTCTAGAAAATGCAATTAATTATTGGCGTCAATCCTATGCAAGTTCCACATTCTACAACTTGGAGAACTAAAACATAAACAATGAGAAATTTAAAATTTTGAAGTTAATGGTAATGAAAGTGGACACTTTTCTTTTTAGTTTGTTAGAAAAATCAATTTAAGTTTGAAATGTATGTATTTTAGAAGAAAACTAGTAAAGATAACAAGAAAAATTATCAAAATTTTAAACATTTGAGAAGTAATAAATGGTAGCAATAAAGTTGTTGGCAAATAAAATAAGAAGATAGTTGAAGATAATAATGCTAAAGCAGAAATAGTGGAATATAAAATATTTTAAGAATTAGAAACTAAAATGATTGACAAATGATAATATCAATGACTAAAATACCTTAAAAATATATATCACATCATATACAATATCATTTTTACCAAAATGATATGGTAGCAATATATTACTATACATTGACTCAAAGAAATAAAATGATAAATAGAAACAAATAAAATGATTAATGTGATATTTTTAAAATTTTAAAGATTAAATACTTATTATTACTATCTTAGAGATTAAAATGAGAATTTAATTTTAATTAAATTATTATTTAAATATACTTTAAGTCTTTTTTGTATTATTTATATTTATTTTTTTAATTATTTTTGTTATTGTTATTATTAATTAATTATTTTATTGATATAGTCAAACATTGTTAGCGAAAAAATAATTATTTGGTTAATGTCAAAAAATTTAAAGATTAAAATAAAATAAAGAATTAAATTTAACTAAAAGATAAAATTAGATGATGAAATAAAATTATAAGATAAAAATATTAATTTTATATATTCAGTACATTTATCTTTAATTTTTAAAAATAATTAGAAATTCTTAATAAAACATTTTTTGTCAGATTAATAAAATTTATTAAACATTTATTTTATTTTATTTTATGGTTGTTGGGGGAGGAGAATGTGAAAATTCGTTACGGGTTTTGACAAGGAATGGGCCTTTTGGGAGAAGCCCAACAGAGGAGGGGCGTGGAAGCAGAAAGAGAATCGAGAGATTTTGTAGTTATGCTTATCTGTACTATGAATTGTTTTAGAAATAGAAAGCTTCAAGTTTAGATTAGTTTCCTACATAGAAATTGAACAGTTCATTATTCTAGTAATGGTATTTCACTATTTTACTACTGCTCATAGATGCTTCTCACTCTGAAGAAAAATATGATTCTGCAACAATATTTTTCTCATATGATGTTTGCTAAGTGGATGGTTACTGATTAAAAGAACGTGGAAGGACAAGGATCAAAGAACCAGCGAGGTATGAACTTGACAAATAGTAGAAAAAATATAAAGTTGTAACGCTATGCAATACAATTTTAGAAAATGGGTAGATTATCCACACCACACGCAGTTTGCAACTTCGCTTTGTAGTTACTTGTACGATAATTGATGTTACTAATTATTCCCAAGAACTAGTGTTAAATCATAAAAAAAATTAACAAGGGTCCTTAAGGTACTTGTTGAGAAATTACAACTCTAACAGTGTACTCATTTTAAAATTTTTTAATACATCTTAATGCAATTTTTAATAAAAATCGTTATTTATTAATTCATTAACCAATATTCTTAAAGCACTGGTTAGCATGACTATAAATCATGACTTTAGTTTCTGTTTTTCAAAACATTCACAGTAAAGGTAATTGAGACACTTCTACTATATTAGAGTGCTGCAGACGCTGAAAACATGATACACTGCACTTTTTTGTATCATTAATTGCACATTTTCGATAAGGAAAAGAATGGAAAAGGTTTCAGCTTGTCCATCTTTTAAGTCAATGTTTGAAAGCTACTGCACGTTTCAAGTTTTTAAATGATTATGACAAATTTATCACCAATGCCCCCCAAAATTTGAGCATGGCCATGTTGAAGTTCTAAAAGGTAATAGATTGATCTAGCGCTGTATAAGACTACAGTTCAAGAGATCACAAATAATAGAAAACATATCACGAACATAGAAAATAGACAAACAAATTCACTTATGAGTTATTGTTCAGTATAATTGAGCTGTGAATCGATGTGTTAGCAACTTGGCAAAAGAAAGAGACTCTGAAGAAATGGCATAGCCTTTAGAATACAAGGATCACATTTTTTCAAGGTCTATTATACTAGGTGAGCACTTCACATGCTGAAGTTGTATGCTATGGGACCCATTGCTTCGGATACGTCTTATTATACTTCAATTAGATCACTAGAAGACCCAAACGTTGCCACATCACTTGTCCCAGGAAATAGTTTCAAATCAGAAGGTTCACACTTTATTATTAGTCCATGATCTTGTAGATTATAAATTTGAAATTTTATTCTTCTCTTTAGAATGAGAAAATTTTAAATGATTTCAAGTTCTGAGACAATTATATTTAAAGTGAGTAGAATTATTATATATGATAAAATTATCTCTTTTAAGTATTTAACACAATTATTTTCATTAAAACTTTAACACAAGATCTTGTATCAAATTGGAATAAACATGTCAATTGATGCATATGATCGGGAAAAAAATTCGACAATTTTTAGAAAAAATTTAACGACTTTTTCTACTTTAAAATGAAACACTATCTTTGTCTTCCTAAAAATTTTAATGAAAAACCTCTATGATAAGAGAACACAAATATTCTTGTTGGATTCTTTGAAAATTGCCCTTGTATTTTATGCCCCAAAAAGAAAAGAGGAAATACTAAATTTGGGGTTGGGGGTCTGCTTCAGAATTTGAGGGGTTCATGTGCGCCACGTTAGCTGATGTCAAAGAGCTAGACCAATCCCATCACTTTCTCATATAAGGCTTTGGTTTGGAAATCCCTCTTTAAGGCTATAAAATAGAAGGTCTCAAGAGAGAAGGAAATTAATTAAGCAAATAAACCATTGATAAAGGCACCTTTGGGAAAAGGGCGGCAATGACCCTCGTTATTTGGCAAAGGAATAAAGCATGACCGCCCCATTGTCTGCTTCAGGATAATAGAAAGAACCAAACAAAGCCTTATCTTTGTGTATTACAATAATTAGAGTTACATTATAACCTTTTTTTGTCGAACTTTATACTGTAGGCTAGCATACTTAAGATCCCAAAAGGTAATCTTAAAAATTGTGCCTCTTTAAAAATTTATCCAAAAAATAATTTTGGGTCATATTATAATTTTACATAGAAATAGAATCGGTCATGGATTCCACCTTCCCAAATGGACAGCATTTCTTAACACCCAATAAGGTGATGCATATTGCATGAGGCGGAGCCCCAGAGATGGTTACTTGGCTAGCCTTTAGTACTTTTGATGCATAAAGCGGATACGGCTACCCTCTTTATTCTTATTTAGATTGATGAAATAAAAAATTAGCAAGTTTTTACTTTTGGTTATGTCATGCTAAACTTGATAAAGTTGGAAACCTATTACCATTTAATTATCAATTTTCAAAAATTATAAAAAAGAAATATGATAACTTTACTTGTCATTTTAAGGAATATAGTAATGTCCAGGGTGCAAACAAAAGAGAAATTAACTTTACATAATGATCAACATACAGCATATATTTCGTATTTGATAATCAAAGCAATTAAACTGAAACTAGAATTTAATCTTCTGCAACATCTTGCATTGAAAGAATGAGGTGGCTTTTGTCCCTTGTCTACCTAAAATCAGCTCAGTTTCACGTCACCGCCACATGCATGTTGCTAGAGTGTGACTAATGGTGGGGTAAGTGGATGTAACTATAGCCGCTTGATTAAGACGTTTGGTAATCTTCCATTCCTCCAGTTGAATTCCTTTCTTTCTGTGCTCTATTGCTGATCTTGAAGCCCAATTGTTTGGAAAGTGTGTTGGTATCTATTTTTGCAAAATAGGATACCTTTTATGTTCAAACTTGGGATTCCAGAATGTCATTGATTAATAGCTGCATCTCTTTTTAGCCACTTGAAGGAAGTAAATCCCAACTGTACTTAACTGTATTGACATGAATTCCACTGTGTAGGGATATTCTTCACCCATAAAGGGTTGAAATCAACATAAATACAAGCATCCAATGTACCAGGCTTTTGTATTCCCTAGGTGCTACCTGTTTCATTGTAAATTTTGGTTTAAACTGAAGGAGCAAAATGTATCATGGAAGATAATTTATTGAAATTGGTCATTATATACTACCTACCTATATAAAAACAACAAGATAAAATACTTGAAAATATTTCCGTAAAATGTAAGTTTTACAAATGAGTCAATCTGTAAATTACACATATATCCATCTTTACATAAATATACAGTTATACACAGAGAGAAATTGTGTATTATTGTAGCTCTCTCTCTCTCTCTCTCTCTCTCTCTCTCATATATGTTCGGCATTATAAGCTAAATAACTATTATAGTGATGTAAAAGAGCTTTATATATAAAATCAACGGTTTTACCTTAATCCTAGAGCCAGAGGAGGCAAGAGAAAATGAAGCCGAGGAAGTTGATGGTGATGAGGTTGAAAGAGCAGACAAGCCAACATTGTAAGTCATAGATTCATCAGGTCTAAAGAGACCATAGTTTCTTTCTGAGGTTGGTCCAGGCTTCAAATCTTCATTGAACAACGCAAACAAGTACACTTCCAACCTCATTCTAGGATTGAGGGGTGTCCCTTGATTTGCCATTTGCCTTCTCAACAAATTCCTATTGTAAGTTGCAGCATTCTGTGGTGTGGCACCAGCCTCATCAAGGTCTCCTTTTGATGGCCAACCAGTCTCAGAGACCCTTACCTCAATCCCTTTGAAACCCATTTTAGCAATGGCAAATGAAACAGCATCTACCATAGCATAAAGCATGTTATCATAGTGTAGATTGGAATAGGGGTCAACCATTCCTGCATTAGGATTGAACAACACATAGTCCAAAGGAATCCCATTAGGATCATCCTTGTAAGCAAAGTAAGGGTATGCATTGATCCAAAAAGGAGCCTTAGAGGTTGACAAGAAGCTCAAAAACTGGTACATGATCCCAGATATCTCACTTTTGAAACTGCCAGCTGAAGGAGGGTAAGATTGATCAAGCACTGCTAAGGAACTCGGTGTTGAAACTTGGATGTTAGAGTAGCCTAACTGAGCAAGAGCATTATGAATGTTAACTACTGCTGGCACAAGATGTTGAATAAGAGTGGTGTCATCATCAGTGAAGACCTCATTCCCAACTTGAATCCCAGTGATTTTTGTGTTAGGTAGATATGGTCTGACGCGGTTGTTTACCCACTGAAGTGCTTGTTGTGGATCATCTAACTGGCTTAGTATTTCATTCTCCACTGTCACAATTATTTCAATGTTTGAACTAGCAAAAGCACTCAGAATCTGTGGATTGGTGTCATAAATTCTTGTTTTTGTCAGGTTAAGGGTGCTCAACAATTCAAGGACTTTGTCTGGTGAAGGCAAATTGTTAGCCACCTGGCCATAGTTGATGCCAAATGATTCAACACCTCGGAAAAATCCAATATCTATTATTCAACAATCAATGAAATGTTAGTACAACTAAATAATAGTGCTCAAACATAGGAAAAAAAAAACGGAACAGAACAAACAAGGTACCTGAAGAGAGAAATAATGCAAGATAAATATAGCCAATAACCATTGTTTGGATGCATGTTGCCATTGTGACCAAGGAAGAGACTAAAGGATTGTAGAGTTCCAAAATGGCAAGGAGGGAGGATGGAATAGATATAGAGCTATTATATGGTGTGGAAATGGAATTCCTTTCTTTTCTTGTTTGAATATTTTGGAGATAGAGAGAGACAAGGTAAATGAGAGGATTTGTGTTTGGTTCGTTAGAGGGTCTTAGCTTGCCTTAGCAGTATTGCATTTGCTATATTACCCCCTTGGGGCCTCTTTTCAATTGGCTTGGTTTCCTTATTTATATATTCTTAACACTGCATTCTTTTGGACTGGGTTGTCTCTTTCCAACCCACGCCAACTTCCAATTTCCCTTTTGACCTCAATACCCTTTTAGCCACTTTCTTCAATCAAAAGCAAAGAGAAATCCTACTCGATGGTTAAATATTAGAGCCTCTTAGGCAAGTCATTGCAAGATCCCAAAATTTGAGGTAAGGTGAAATCCCAAAATTAGTCCACCTTAATGATGAGAGATTCCATATTTTAAACCAAATTATATTATATATATCAGCATATAATATGTACTTGTTTATTACACCACTCTTATAGGGTGGGACTAAGGAGCCTTGTAGATATAGTGCTTTTGTGTGAAAAGGCAAATAGGTATGCTGGATCTGATCCTTTTTGACTTGGAGATGCTCTCCATGATCAAAATTTTCAGCAATTTTATGCAAATGGACCCTTTTCTGCGCAGTATACAATCACTTCTCCATGTAAAATGTATCATTTTCTTGCAAAAGCATAGATCATGTGTCTGACTTCAGATATCCATTAGGAATTTTGATGACATCCACATAATGCTGAATTTTCGTACGTTAATACAACGTTGAAAGTTTTTCTCATGATTCGAGAGTTAGCTTATAGTTGTCGTCGATGTATCGCTTAAGACGTGAGGGGTTTTAGTTGTGACTTTTAGCGCCAAACTATCTCAATATTTTAACTTTCGTTTTGATTTATGTTTGAAAATTATATTAATATTTTTATTTGATTTAATTTTCATGTATTCTTACTATAAAATATTTTATACTAACAATCAATTAAAAATAATTGTCGGTACAACTTTTGAAGTAATTATTACAAAAATTTATATGTTTAATCATATGATATGTTTTTCTTTGTCTTAGGTAAAAGACTATAGTATGTTTTTAGATATAAAAAGCACAAGACTAATTTCTATTCAAATTTTTTTACTATTAGTCTAAAAGAAATTTTCACATAATCAGGTTCGAATATAAAACTTAATGTTAAATTACCTGATAATTTATAATTAGATGATAATATCAACAATATTATATTTTATTAAAATTTAATTGTATTTTATATTATAACGTTATTGAAACAATATATCATTCATCTAACTCTTTCTATAATATATTTTTGTATCTATATTTTCTAATCACATTAATTATTCTGTCTTATACTTCAATTTTTTTTGGTTTCTCTATTTTATTGTAAAAAATTATTTTCATTAAAATGATTTAAAAACTATATATACCAATTATCACAAAATTTAAAATATTTTAATAATATATTGACATATATATAAATAGATGATAATATGATTAGTTTCGTATTTAAAAAAAAACGTGGAAATTCCCTTAAAGAAAAGCACAACCATCCACATATAGATCATTAATTAACAAACATATACGTGTCGAAATCGTAATTTCTCCTATAACTAACACACATACACACACAAATATATATATAATAATCACTACACTTTCGGCCTTAAACTAAAACAGAAGGGTGATTATGCAAATAGTTCGAAATAGAAATGAATGTAGTAACAAATAAATAAATACAAGAATTTGTGGCCTGGTGTTAAAATATTAGTGAAAAATTAATAACTATTTTTTAAAATTATGAAAAACATACATTATTAAATATTTAATAAAAATGCTTTTTATTTGTATTTTTTTTTTTAACTAATGTGGCATTTGCCATAAAAACATAAAGGGAGAGTTGCCAATGAGTTACTTGATCAGGTTGGATGAAAATTGAAATGAAAAATCAATCCTTGGTGTTATGTTATATTGATTCAGTTTTGAGTAAACAAAATCAAGCTGAAATTAAACTAATTATACATGTAATAATATCCAAAATTGACACGCTCATTAGTCACTGTTAAGTAACAAAGTGAATAAGAGCGTCTTTCTTAATAACTGAGCCCAACTGTTAATTAGTAAATTAATCTCTGGTTAAACTAACCTTTGGATTAATGATGTAGTGTTCTCATTGTAGAAAAATTACATACACTGTATGCAGAAACTTAGTAATATAGTAACTTTTGACTCAATAACAATAAATGAGTGATTAATAGATCAATAATGGTTTAGATTAGAATTCGCTCAGTGGTCTTTATTATGCTATCTAATTCAATCTCAATTTAAGTTATAATCACCAATTAATTATCAAACTCACTACTTTAGTTTGAATCCATATTCATCCTTTCCTTTTAACTTAAACTTTTTTTTTTTTGTCGGTCTCCTTATAATCAACACGCCACTGCTTTCGAAGATTCTTGCTATGAAAGTTATTATAATTCAAACTTTATGATAATTAAGTGAGTTAGAATGAAAAACAAGAAAAAAATTAGTAATCTTCTCATTTTTTTAAATAACTTTTACAAATCTTAAAATCATGTGATGGAGATTTTTAAAAAAATATATCCACATGCACATTTAACAAAACAACAAGGAAGAATAAAATTTCATGAGGTTTATTCGAACTGATTTGATAACTCGAACCAATCCAAAAATTTTAAATATTGGGTAGGGTTGTTGTTAAGCGCTAATAACGCTCTTCAATTAAAATTTATAGGACTCTAGTTCATGGTAATCATTATTCATAATTAAAGGGTCATTAAGCCAATTAATTAAAAATAAAAAATCATGTATCACCTGTTGCTCTAAGAGAAAGTTTAAGTTTTTTATTTACAGAGATATCTTCGGGTCTGGTTTTAATTCAACTATACATTTATATTGTTTATTAATTTAATCTTTTATTGCATTGCCAAACAAGTGCAATTTAAGTCATAATTTTTTAAATTGACTCTTTAAAAGGTAATGTTTAAGGGAGGTGGGAATGCTTTACTCTTTCAGGTGTCAGTGGAAAGAGCATATTTTGAGGTAATGCAATATACAAATATATTTTTTCATGCATTTCTAGAAATTAAGTAACTAATGACTTTTACGTAAAACAGATTTTTTAATTTTTTTAAAATATAAATAAATCTATTTTTATTGTACTTTTTATAAATTTTAAAATTAAAAAGTATATTATTATTTACAGATACCATTACACGCATTTAAAGACATGTCACGTTAATTATCATTATATAGATTCTGTACAATTTCTTAATGGTTATGGAACTAGCATTTTATTTATTAATTATCGATTGAGAATCATACTGTAGCTTATCTATTTCTTATTGCATATCAAAGGAAGTGACAAAAGCTAACATCTTGCAGATCCAATATAACTTCAGATGAAATCTAATAAAGAAAAAGAAATGAATATATGTAAGAATCACCGACGAAAGCAAATGCAATAGCAGAAATTAAGTCTTGGAGAAGAGAATATTCATGCACATCGTTTATTCTCTTGTTTATGCTTTATATCTAATCATTCATCAATCAACGAGATGCTAAAGGAATACAAACTTTTGGGATACATCTGCTTTTAACTTAGATGCCAGTTTGGAAAGTTCAACACTAGCAATCTTGTTTTACAACTATAATAAATATAAACTTTATAGCAATGGAAATTGAGTCATTCATACTATTTTTCTATTTATCTTTTTATTATATCTCCTATTTTGTAGTCGAATTTATTTCTTATTTTTTACTGATAAATTTAATTTATTAACTTTGTTAGTGAAACAAACATATTGAATCAAATTCTAGTTTATTTTAAGAAAATGACCGATTTTCTAGTATTTAAAAATTAAATATTCAGATAAATATACTAAATTTTTTAAGATCCATTTTGTCAAATTAAGAGTAGAGATGACAATAGGTAAAGTACTCGATAGATACCCGCAAAATTTATCCACAATGGATAGGGTATTTACTCGCTATATGTGTACGAGTATGGGTGTGGGTAAAAACTCGTAAATTTTAATAAGGATGGGTGCGGGTATGGGTGTCTAAGTACTCACCTCGCCCCATACCTGCATATATATATATATATATATATATATATATATATATATATATATATATATATATATATATATATATATATATATGCTTGAACTTTATTCTACAATTATACATTGAATTTTTGTATTATTATATTACTTATGTGAAGTTATATAAGATTAATATAAAAATATATTTAATAATAAAGTAAACTAAAAAAATTATTTTGATTTATAGTTTTAATAGAAAAATTTATTTACTATTTTATATCATTTAATTAGGCTAATACAATTTAATTATTACATAGTTAATATGAAATTGATTTTTTTTAAATATTATTTATATATGACACTTATAAAATATTTTTCACACAAATATTTTTGTTAATAAAATCATATTGATGTTTAAATCATAAAGCGAATGATAAATAATAAATATATTGTAAATATTTTATAAATTTTACAATCACCTACTATGACTGTAAATTTATTATTTATTAATAATATTTCAATTTTATTTTTTATATTTTAATTTAAAATAATATTTTTCTATGCAACATATGTATTATAAGCACAACTATAATCTATTGAATCTAAATAATATTATTCTTACTATTTATTTACGTTCAAAGAAGTTTTTGAAAAGATATAAATATAAAAAATTATTGTTAATTTTTTTAGATAAAAAAGTATAATTTTTTAATATACATGTATATTTCTTTATTATAAAATTTTATTGTGACCATTTATCTTTTATTCAAATTCTTTCTTTTAAAATTTATATATATTATAAATATTTAATTCATTAAAATAATTTTTTAAAAATTTATATTTTTGAT